TGTGTTCTTTATCAACCTGTTTGAGAAGATATGCTTGCAAGTAATGACTCATGCCACCCTTACAAACCCCTTTCTTTATCAGTAAAGCATTCTTTTGTCCTTCAATTTGAAGGATTTCTGAAAACTTCCAAAATGATGCATGAAAGTGGAACAGAAACGTTGAAATAGCATTCGTGTGGTAGATCAACAGCAGCTGATTGTATGAAGATAATGCACAAGATGAATATTTTTTTGAAATTTCTAATAGGTGCATAAAAAGGGAAAAGAAATATGATCATATCTTCAAATTGAAAAAAAATCGGTCAACAGCCGACTATATAGAGATTGTCATGCTCTGAAAAAATTTTTTAATTATTTTCTTAGAAGCATTGGATTAAAGAAAAAATAAATAAAATTGGCCACTTTAGTCAGACTGTCGCTTTATAGAGGTAGCTTCGTTGCATATGCAATACAACTCGAAGTATCCTGTTAATAGGGATCACAATGCATAACCGGATGATTGATTTATTCCTAATTTTGGAGGAAGGGGGTTTGTAAACTTCATTTGAATGGACTTGTCCAAATCATTTGAATGGACTATTCGTTTTACAAAAGTGAAAATTATTGTAAAAAAAAAAAAAAAAAAAAAAAAAACCCTCATATTATTGAAAGAGAACAATTGATACTAATGTATAAAATAAAATATACATTTTTTGAGTAATTTTTTCTTTAAAACAAACAATTTTTTTATGAATTGCAATTTTCTTATAATTCGGGGAATGACACCAGAATTTTATCCACGTTATTCTGTTAGTGAATAATTCTTTACTGAAAATTCTGATATTTGTATAATGCAAGAAATAGACTAATTTGTTAACTTCATGATTCATGACGAAAACACATCTTTGAGAATATTTAATTTATTTAACACACATACCGCCCAACTAGTGTAGCGGTTACCGTCGCTGACTGCCGTGCCGAAGGTTCAAGTTATGAATCCCGGAGAAAGCACGGATGTTTCTAAATGTATAGTGTTCGTGCGACATGGGGGCACTAAATATGTGGCGAGCCGAAATTCCTCTCGAGAGGTTGATGGTAGGGAAAGAGGGGAGTGGAAGACCTTCAAATCCGTCCTTCCGGGGTGCTCTCCATCAAAATTGTGGGCGGAACTGAGCTAAATCGGCCTGTCACCTGTAAGGTGCTCAACGCCTGATGCCAACGACAGGCGTAAACTTGCGCTCCTTGACACGAGGATTTTCGTGGTTTTGGACTGATTATATGTCAGACAAGTCAGCCTTAGCAACAACTCAACACATATATCTGCGTATGTTCTAAATAGCTATGTTTGTTAAGTTATGTTGTTGTATGTTAGCTATGTACCCAATATTTTCGACATTTTTCTTTGTTACACCCTTTTTATGTCTTTTTGTTGAGTAAGTGAGCTTAAGGCTTCCCAGCCTCGCGAGTCTGAAACACTACAGGATACTACAGGCAAAGAAAGTCATACATATTTTTTGCTACAGGTTCCCTCGTCCGTCAGAACCAGGTACAGAGGTTTATCCTCCGCCCTTGCATCTGGGAGAGAGAGACGCACCGCCCCAGACGGCAATGATCGTCAGTTTGCTACCTGCCAGTCACTTGGGCTTCCCGTCACAGTGGGGTATTAGCGAACTCGAGGGCGCTACCCCTCGGGATACTTGAGCCACACCGCTGTAGGACTTGCCAAACCACCGGGCCGGCCAATGAGGCCGGTCTTCAATATACTAGCAAAATTATTATTGAAAAATCAAAGAATATACTATACACGAAAATATCCTCGGGCTGTTAATTTACCGTGTAAACTGAGCGATGAAAATCCCTTTTTCGTTGAATTTCCTTATGAACGTGATGCCTTCCGTAGCTTATTGCCCTAATTTGGATTTTCAATACTTTTTTTATGTATTTATATTGCGGTGAAACAGAAACTGTTATTTTATCATGTACTGTACATTTTAAAACACTGAAATATGCATGTAAAAAAAAATTGAAAATATTTTGCCGCATTTAATGTTAATCTAAATACGCATGAAATTTTCAAGCACAAATTACCAAACATATTAAACTAAATTAGTGGCTCACATTTACCACATAATGTGATGTGAGCTGTCTGTTATAAATTTGAAACATGAATGAGAAAGACTATGTGTGACGCTACGCTGATTACAAAGCAGCTGCTATCCTTGGAGTTACATAATTGTACAGATGAGTCCACTTTTCAGAATTAAGATCTAACAGTACTGTGTTTGGTTTAACTCTGTTAAAAGTGTGCACCATGTGCAGCTGCAACAATGACTTACAAAGTACTAAACGGTGAGTTATAGGCAAGGCTAAATTCATATTCATGAACACATACGCAAGACATGTTTGCGAAAATATTACCGTTTTGTTCATGCTGTGCAAAATTAACACAAATATTAGTTTTGAGATAATTAAAGCACCGTATTTAATAAATTAAGTTACGTTATAGTTACAAAATACCTAGTTCAAGACTATTATTTTTCTAATATTAGCCACCGTTAAGCCGTTTTTGAGGAAAATAATTTGTATAGTTAAATATTAAGTAACAGGAAAGTTTGCACGGTTTAATCTACATGTATAATTCTTTGTCTTTATACAAATTTATAGTTTAATTCCGATCTTTATGAAATTTGCCACTTACGACTTTAAAACAAGAGGAAAATCACGGTCTGCATAGGATTTCTCAAAAACCAGCTCCTGGGGTCCGCACTCTTTATGTACATATATTTTACGCTAATTTAAATAACTTTGGATTAAAATCTCAGCTATTTAAAAGCTTTGGATTACCACTCTGCAAACCATAAGGTATTAATATTTCAAATTTAAACAGAAAACTCGAGGATATAAAAAGAATGCAAATCAATTAGGGTTTTAATCTGAAGTAGCGAAAAGGTTAGTCAAAGCATGGTTCACTATTGAGTACGCACGTTGTTGTTTGTACCAGCTGTTGGAATTCTAAATCTCAGCTTCACATTCTTAACGCAGAAGTTTAACGCATGTTGGTGTAGGTTTCTTTTACCTGCAAATTAAATTAATTTATATAGTCTTGAAATTCTAGCTTATCTTTAATTTAGTGTAATTTACTGTTATCCTTAGTTTTATCATCACATGTGGAAGGTGGATTTGTAAGCACATAGACTGTGCCATCTGTAAATAAATGAGTCTTTTACATTCTCTGGTCTTACCTTGATGTATTCATCAAGTCACTAACAGACTTTCAGGTAGGTCTAGTATAAAAAAATAGCAGTTTGTGATCTAGATGTTACAAACTAAGCCCTTTTTTCTGGTTTTCTTTCACCTTCTTCGTGTTTTGTAATTGTTAACTCAAAAAAAGTATATTGAAATCTGTAAAAGGAATCGAGTGATCTTTACAAGCATAACAATGTAAAATATGAATGATGAATAAAGCTCTGCTTTCAAAAGCAGATCCAGTGAGTTTTTTTTTTTTTTCTCGTCTTATTTAACTTAATACGATTTTTTTTTTTTTTTTTTTTGAAAGAATAAAAGAAAAGTAACGAGACAGCGATCGCTACAGATAAACTGCTTTTCAAGAAAGGTTTGTTTATTTGAATATTGCAGAGCATAGAGGAAAATACCTGCCAAAGCAAAAATATGCCTTCGTGGAGGATTTTTTTTTTTAATTAGACTGGCTTGTATATTGGCGCTGTTTTAAACTGGCTTGGCGCTATTCGAGAAAGGGAAATTGTTTTAAAATAAGCCGCCAATTTTTTCAGAATTTGGCATAATAATAATAATAATAATAATTCAGCTTTTCTCCATATACTCGAGAGCTAAGATAATGAAATCAAATCCAGCGCGAAATAATTGATTTAAGTCTTTACATCTACTTGAATTATCAGCTGTATTTTCTTTCTTTTAAGGATACGAGATTTGAGGAATGTGAATCTTTAAATTTCTCAAAACTTCAAAAACAGCAGAATGATATAAAAAAGGTATAGTATCAGAAATTTTTTACTACACATAAATCTTAAACATTCATTTAAAAAAATAAGCGAATTGCAATCACGCATTTTGGGCATAAATACATTACTTGTATATGCGGTCTTTAACCCTAGAAAGCTAACCTTACTACCGTGAAACTTTGGAATTGATCATTCTAAAAAATACGACTACTAAAATTTAGTTCAAAACGCGATTTAATTGAAAATTTTCCAAAAAATATTTTACGTCTAACGATTAATGGGAAAATGCCGCTGTCATACGAATATATCATCGTCACTTGAACGTTAACATGAGAGCACAACTTGTGCTTAACTTAACAGCTACTACTTGTGGTAATGAAACTAGAGTAACGGTCAAATTTAAATTCAAGTGCAGGCTAATAAGTCGAGGACTAGACAACTATATTAAAATCTAAGCTAGCTCAGAACTTCTTACCAGAGTAACAATTTAATTCAGCTCAGCTATAACGCAAAGCCAAATAATTACAATCTTATCAGAACTGGCAAACATCAGAATCACCCAGAGGCAGAAACACGCTCTATCTTAAAATCCAGAAACCTCAGTTTAAATACTCTGTAACTCATTTACATTTCTGGTGAAGAAACGGAAAGAAGTGATAGTAAAAACTAAAATTGTGAGTAACTTGTTAATACAAAATAAAACTCTATAACTGGATATGATAACCTCATAAGACTAGTACATCTAAAACAGATCAGTATTTCTGGCAGTATAAATAAATATCTGTAAAGAACGTCATCTTAAGAAGAAAAAGGTTAAGCCACCAGCTCACTATAAACCAAATTTGCCTGAGAGCCTGGATGGTCGTCTTAGAGGGAATTCACTGTGCATTAGAACTATCCTTACAAGTAAACGTAGAAATTAAATAACGATTCATTATTAGTCCATTCATGAATTGCAGCTTTCAAATAATTCATAAAACAGCTTTGCTAAACATTAACGAAGAGTTGACTTTCTTTTGGTAGGAGGAGAAGACAGGGACTAGCGTAATAAGCTAATTTATTGGGTATATCCCGTTATATACATTTAAATTTACATTTATGAAAGAAATGTATCTATTACGTAACTAAAATTAAAACATATAGAAAAGAAAAACCTTTTAAAGGCACAAATAAATTATTACAGACATCTATTTACAAGCAACATCGTTCTAGCTCCACCAATGAAATTAAACAGCTAATTGAGTTCAAAGTACATTGCTCTTCCGCACACATTCACAAGACAAATTCGTAGCTCTCTCTTCAAAGAACCACTCATCTTGCAATTCGGGAGGCACTCTGTGTTCCATTTCATTTTTAAATTTCCTTTCCTTAAACTCCGTTGGCTGAGTAGTAGCGCCACAAAAGAATTTGTTGCGCCGCAGAAGAACCAAAGTGAAGGATCTTGATTGACAACTCATGCGAGAAAACCAGCAAGTCTTTGAGGAACAGACAGCAGATCGTATGTAACGAGGAAAAATGTCATCGCCCAAGTCCAGCCACTGTGTTTTCCAAGGACATGTCCAAGGAGTAGGGACTTCCGAAGAGAAAGAATCCGATGTTTCAAGTTCCAGGTCCCGTTTTATCCTGTGTCCTGTAAATAAATGTATCATGAGAATCATTTTCACGATTTCAAACAAACTGAATTTAATTTACAGACAATAAATACTATTTCCTTCTTCCAGTAAATGATTGTAACAAAGCTTAGCCACATTCTTTCCCTAAGAATAATATGTTGGATGATGAAGGAAGATCTTTTAGAATTGCGCACAAATCATGTTCTTTAACTGCAGTTTGAAAGCAAGAACTTTGGAGCAATATTAGTGTTCCTCAACGAATATGTTCCCAAAACTTAGTGAAACGGTACTAATTGTGCTCACCCCATTTGCGACGATACATTTATGCGAGTCTACATTTAGTGTCCTTATTGCCATCCCATTTGCGACGATATACTTATGCGAATCTATATTACTTTGTTAACCAAAACAAATATCAAAAACCACTTAGATGCATAAACAGATACGCAGATTGCTATTAGTAACAAATTGCCATAATATAAACAAGAATAAAAGTGTTTTTCGAAAGATTTTTGTAATATTTTATTGTTTTCGTGTTTAATTTTTATTTATTATTAAAACATAATTATACAATTTTTATCACATTGTTTTTGTGTTTTGTTGTTTTTGTTTTTGTGCGAGAACGTATTAAAATTTTTCTACAGGAACGTGAAAAAGGTTGGGAAGCCAGGGTGTAAAATTATTAATATGAAATGAAACTGAAAACAACCCCAAAAATTTAACAATTGCATGTAATAGTAACTGTAAATAACTTTTATTTATTTATTTATTTAGTTAAAGTGCTAATAACATACTTCGGGACATGCTAATTACAAATGAAAATGTAATTAGCATGTGTAATTCATCGATCAGTTTCGTAAGATGATCCTTTTTACTTCCTTGTACGAAGTAAATGAAGTATTGTAATTGCGAAAATTTTTCGGGTACCATATTTCAAAGGAAATATCCATTTTGACCATTCTCGAATCTATTTGGACTATTTTTTGGAGTGACATTTATACGCACAGACATAACTATTTAAGGACTCTTAATAAAGGACTCTTTTACGAAACGGATTGAAAAAAAGATCTGTACGTATGTATGCAAGTACATATATATATATACGTATGGAGCATATTTCAAAAGCGATTAGACAAAGAACGTTGTAATTTTGTATATGAGACTGCTATAACATTTAGTTGTGCATCTTCTTTTTTTTATTGCAAATAGCGATACCAAAGATGTGTGTGTGTGTGTACATATATATGTAGAAAGAGAACAAGTCAAAAGAAAAATTTCCAAAAAGGACCAAGAAACATTTCGAATCCAGCACCAGAACCACTTAAAAATTTTAATTTAATAAAATAAAACTTAAATTCAGAAGAAAAGATTATACTGTCCTAAAAAAATTATACTATCCCAAAAATTCTTAATGAAGCAAGATGGAAATCAAAAGTTAAAAGCTATATAGTATATACATATATAACTTTTCCTTATCCGGCTTAAAATTCCTTTACCCTGCCTTATTTCGCAATCGCTTGATGTAATGATATGCTTTCAATTAGAAGTGTTTTAATTGACGAAAATATTAAAACAATTTTTGACAAACAACGAAATTTTTAATGCGCGTTCCCAATTCTTATACCTACATTTGAACAAGTTTTATAGTCATCATGAAATATAAAATTATAAGAAGCTGGATTTCGGAACGACAAAAATTGATGGGTATTTAATTTCAAAATTTGGAATTATTTTTTGTCACTTTCAATTTGCCTTCAGGAATCGGTTAATTAAGTTAGAATAGTTCTAGGAAATAGTTTTAAATAAAGTTTAGCACAAAATGTGTATTCTTTCGTAGGCCTTACAAGGAAGTCATGTGGAGTCCACATCAGATATTTTTCGTATCAGACTAGATATAAGGAACTAAATTTTCGGCTCGTGAATTTTATAATATCGGGGTTCGAATACATCCTTCTGCTCAAGTCAAGGCCGAAACCTTCTGAGAACCATTTATTGACTATAACTGCTAAAAGGAACAAAGAAATGACTGCAACATATACTTGCTACAGTTACATGATATCCAATATTCGATTCATTCTAACATTCTGAGAATGAGATTTCACACACACGAGGAAATGAACTTCTGAAGCTTTGTCAAGCTTCTTAAAAGCATTGTCAGATATCGACAGGACGACCGAAAACCTACTGTAATAACAGGGCTAGTACATTTCAAATAGGGGCAAACCAAGAGTTGCTTTATTGTTATATTATGTTTATGGCGACTGTTGGCTGAGGAGAAAAGAGTTCAGCATTCGTCTTGAAGACACCCCTATGGAAAATGGGTCAAGGCTCGTTTCTAAGGCAAAAGACAGCTGCAGATTAACTGGCGAAAGCTTTTCTTATGATAGACAGTCCAGTCATCCTAGGAATCTCCATGCTGAAAAGCCGTGCTTTCTCAACTCCACCCCCTATTTTTGTGTTTCCTCTTCAGTGTATTGTGTGTCTCAACAAAGCTAGTCAGTCTCCTGTCAGGACAGAATAGAGAGACCTCACGCTCAGTACCTATAAGGTATCTGTGGCATAGCATTTTTATCACTATTGTTGTGAATTTGGAATTACTCATGCTAAAATAAGTATGAACCTACCTTTAGCGTGTAATATTTCAATGTGTTTTCGAACTTAAAAGGCGCACGGGGTTGGTGACATACAGGATCCCACATTTTTAGAAGTGGATAAAATTCCTTAGGCACCCGAAAAACAAGTAACAGCTGCTTGCCTGTAGGGATGAAGGTGAACTGAGTAATGTAGCTTTTATTCTTACTATTTTAAGAAATCATGTCAAAAATGGCACTGTTCAATTCACACCAGAAATAGTTGGATGTTATTCAACACCAGAAATAGTTGGATGTTTTTTAACACCAGGAATAGTTGGATGCAGTTCAACTCCCACCAGAAATAGTTGAATATTTTTCAAGCCAAATTTCATAATGCTACATCTGAAATTAATTGGTTGCACCATTAAATACTTACGGCTAAGTATGGTAATTAGTAACACGATACTAGAAAATGGTGGATGGAAACAACAAAAATGCAGACATAAAAGAAGTCCACTCTATCCGACCATAATGACATGGAGTCAAATGCACAACCAAGTCAACCAAGTGAAAGAAAAGTTTTATTTGTCTGCCGAAACAGCCGATAGAATTCCCAGATCATCGTCTTAGACGTCCTCGAGAGGAAGCTGCTTCAAGATCAAATCCCGAAAATTGTAGATAAATTTGAAAGCAACCTAAATACTGAAGACACGCAGATCAAAATCTATACCTCAGACGATCATCGAAAGATCACTGCGCTAAACTAGAGCGGTATTTCATACCACATTTTCTCTCTAGCGGTAAACCATTCAGGCAGTCATCAAGAAACTTTCGATTTTCACCACAACTGAGGATATTATTGAAGCTCTAAAAAATATTCTACTTAAAAAGTGAAACAACTTATACGCAAGCGGAATGGTGAAATCATTAAACTTCCATTATTTCTAGCCCAATTGGAATGAAATGAAACACTGCAAATTGATTTATGAATTGAATAAATAAGTTTATAAATAAAAATATTTATTTTTAAACTAAAATGTTATGGATTTCGGTATTAGCGTGACCTTTCAAGCCATCACCCAGTCCGTAGCAGTGTCACAATTGCTAGAGGTATTGACCTAGCCGTGCACATTGTCACCACAAAACCAGATGACCGAAATGTGGAGAAGGGCATGATACATATCTAGGTAAAAAAAAAAAAAAAAAAAAAAAAAAAAAAAAAAAAAAAAAAAACAGTCCCTAAGAAGTGTGCTCTCTGAGGAGGTCCACACTTTTCTTCGTATAGAGAATGCGAAAAATACCCTAAAAACAAAAGGACAAGGTAACCCACTTCCTAACAATAATGAAAACTTCCCGCTTCTCCGAACTAAAAACCAAGCACTGAAAAACCTGAAGAGTGAACACATCCGAAGAGGAAGCCACTGAAAATGATACTCAAAATATTATTGACTGGATTAAAACAATTTTTAATAAAGCCAAAACCTTATTCCTACAATTTAAAACTGCGAAATTTATTCTAAACAAAATTCAGATTGCCTTTGAAGCTCTTGAACTTATTGTAAATTCTGATTATGGGTTTTAATGCCTACAATAAAACTTTTCACCTTCATAACAACGCATTTTGTAATGCAAATCGTGTTCAAAGACAACGCGAGGAAATTAAAAATTTTGTTCTCAGCCACAGTGTTGATTTCATGTTAATGAAACTCACCTTCGCTCTTGTGACAGGTTCAGAATGCATGCGTACAAAACGCATAACAGAGGTGCCGGCATTCTGATCTTTGTTAATAGCTACATGCTACGCAATACCATTTCTCAGGAAATATTACTGCTGAATATACTGCTATGATTGTTCATAGCCGCACGAATGATGGGAACTTCAATTCCAAGCACTCAATGTGGAATGCGCGTATCACGAATACAAACGGAGCAACGCTGGCAAATTCGCCAATATCAGAAATTGAAGGAGAAATTCACAAAACTCTTATCGGAAATACTACTATTGACAATGTCACGATATTAAAAACGCACGATTCCCGCAGCACTTTGTCTATTTATATATACTTAACAAAATTAAAGAAAAGATAGAGCAGCAAAAACTTGGAGAAGAACGGGAGCTCCTTCGGATAAAAAAATTCTAAACAGAAAATGCAGAGAAATTAACTTTTGACAGATTATTGCTCTGACAAGTGGGATGATTTACTGGATAGTATGGAGTACACTCAAAATCTTACTTGGACAATTAAAAATCCCTCCTGAACCCAAATCTTTTCTGTATAGAACCATTAAATACTTATATTGGTACTGTCTTATGCAGAACAAGGTAGGGCGCAATTCTTAGAAAACACCTTACAATCCAACCTCAGTTTCGATCCTGACGCAGAAAAAAGGAAGTCGAAAAATTCCCTGCTCAACTTCCGGAATGCACTTGGATTAATCATGTT